CTCTCCTCCGACAAAGACGCCAAATTTTTCGCGGTTTGCTCTTCGATCTGCTCATCTCTCGATCACTTCTTTCTTTACAATGATGTTTATTAGCGTCGATAAGTTAATTTAATTTAATTTACTCCATTTTCACTTCATTATTTGCAGTGGGGAAGGACGAGAAAGGAACATGCGAACCATTCGTGCTAGTCCACCCATCCCACCCCAGTGGGGGACATCCATCACACAGTAATCTCGTGTGTGGGAAATTTACGTCTCCTACCCCAACCATGCAGGAGACAGGACCTCCATTTATTCGCCCCTATCCGAGAAGACTAGAATATCTAAGCATTTCTTGATGTTATAGAAAGGTAGCACATTCTCCTCAGTAATTTTAAGACCTTAAGTGTTGATCCGGCCGGGGCTCGAACCTTGGACCTCCCGCTCAACAGTCTGGCGCTCTATCCATTGAGTCAACCGGGAGGCAGTTGAAGTCGTTTAAAGCGGTTGAAGTCGTTTTAAATTAAACTTTTTTTGATGCAGTGCGGAGGATAAATCATTCATCTCATGTTCTGAGCGGAGCAAGTCAACAAGTCTCGCTGTTTGTAGAGGAGGATGAAAGTGCCGTCGACTTCGGCGAAAACGGAGGAGAATATGAAGACTATGACGAGGAAGATGTCATTACAATCATTGCCAGCGGCATCGTGTCTTCCATATCAGAAGATGTACTGATTTTTTACTTTGAGAATTCTAGACGATCAGGAGGAGGCGATGTCTCCGAGATCCATTTCAACGAAGAAGGGGAAGCGGTGATTACTTTCGCTGAGGTTAAAGGTACATGATGCTTTCTCTGGAAAGTATTTAAGTTGGCAGATTTATTTATAAGTTCAGGTATTTCTTGAGAAAAAGTAGCCAAGTTCAAATCTAATGCATGTGATAAATTTCAGGTTAAATCTCAGGGTGGTTGGTGAAAGAAGACGAGAGGTTCCTGTAGTCACTAGCATTGCAATTTTAGTAGTTTCCGGAAAACTTAATTTCTCAAACAAATTTGGTTGTCAATTCGACACTTGCTAAGAGTCTTTTATGTATTATTTTTGATTGAATTTCTTTCGCGGTATAAGAACACTCTAAAATTGGCTGAGTCCCCAACAAGTGGCTTCACAATAGTCAGTTGGTAGCGGGGCCAAGCCTAGTTCACCTCCGTTGAAGCTAGGATATAGATCACTCTACCATTTACTTTTGAAGATTACTGTGTTCAGTAATATCTTCCCATTTACCCTGAGTTATAGATACTTACCCATCCTTTTTCTGACAGCTTTTTTTAAAACTAGCTCAAAAAGGTGAAGTGGATATTTATAGATTCATATCTGTATCCTAAATATCAGGTTTTCTACTGCTTGGTAAAAGTAAGCTCCAATCATTTGCACTTTTGTTGATCTGTGTGGATGGCAGGTATTGGTGAATTTCCACTTAACAAGAATGTGCAAATTTGCTTGCAAATCCATAACACGAGTCAAGGAAGCAAAACGATTACGTTAAAAACGATTACGTTCTTAAGCGTAATCGTTGTCTCTGAACATCTTGATTACATTAATGTTTTTAGTTGTGATGTTTATTACAGACCTAAAGCGACTTCTCGAGGAGCCACACGAAATTGACGGCCAAATGATAACAGTGGTACGACAGCCTCCTTCGAAAAAAGTGCCCCTTGATCCGTTAAGAGTTCATGTTCAAGGAATCAGCGAAACGACCACTAAAGATTGTTTGTCCTTTTATTTGGAAAAGTTTGCTCTTGTTGATGTTGAAGAGGTGTATTTCGGTGTAAAGAATAATGCCCTGGCAGTTTTTGATGGTGAACCAGGTAATTTAAAGACCACAAAAGATTAATTTATGATACTTAGATTAGATGACATTATCATGGCTATTTAGTTTGAAAGTCGATTAATATGCGAATAAAGTAGTTTAGTACTATAAGTATAAAAGAAAAAAAAGAAGAAGTAGCACGAGCGAACAATCAGTTGCGACTCGAAAATTTAGAGTGTAGTCATGGCTTTAGAATGTTGTTATAGCGAAGTCAGTCATTTTCAATCATTCCTAACCATTTTTTCTAAACGTTATTATACTTTAAAGCATATGCACTTGGAACAACACTTTTCATCGCTGCTTGCATCACGTCCTTGTTATTGTTGATATATCTATCAAAAAGTTGCAATTTACAGTAGGAAACACCGATCTTCATAGTTTGTGTATTGTGTTAGCCAATTCAAAATATTTACGGTGTTAACTACACGAGTGCCAATATCACTGTTCTCCGGCCACGCATTTTCTATTTCAGACTTTGAATCACTCTTGCATAATGTAAACAAAGATAAAAAAGGCTTGCGGGGAGAGAAACCTCGCCTAGAAAGAGTACCGGTCTGTTCATGTATTCTGGTCACGGGACTGAAGAAAGAATCAACCGATATCACCATTGACCTTTATTTTGAAAATGTGAAACGAAGTGGTGGGAGGGATGTCTGCAGAGTGGAAAGGATTAGAGAAGACCAGGCCGTAGTTCATTTCGAGGATCATACAAGTAAGAAATATATAAGAACTCTCTGTTTTTTGTTTTCTTTTTTTGCGTGTTGTTTTTCTTTTGCTGTCACATTTTAACATTAGGGCCGTGTTACGAACTTTTTAGTTTATCCAAAACATTGTGTTCAAGGACAGCTCAAAGCCACTGTTTAGTAGATTCCTTCGGGATACTTTCATGCAGTAGCTGATTCATCACCTGGAGAGGGGGGGAGAGGGGATTTCAGTGATTTCAAAGTGAGATTTATCTGGAACCCCCCCCTCCCCCGCATTGTGCTCTGTAGTATACTCATAATCCCTCTTAGGTAAGCTATAATTTTCATGATACCCACTTGCATGGCATTGACGTGCAGATACCAATCTTAAGCTGTCCTTAACCCTGAGACCCCCTCTCGGTTTTTACTTCTTTTTAATCGAGGCAAGAGGATTTTATCTGGGCAACTGTCCACTCCAGAAGCTGCTCATTTCTCTTGGAGGTATATTTAGTGTGAATCTGGCCCCGGTTGTTCAAAGGATGGATAACGCTATACACTGGATAAATCTCTATCCGTTGGATAGCACAGTACGTTTTGGAAACACTAATCCGCTGGATAGCGATTTATCCGTTGGATAGGGTTATCCGCCCTTTGAACAACTGGAGCCTGGTGAAAATTAGCCATTAGATATATGGGTTATTAACCAAGCGTGAGGTCAAGATGGCTGGATATTGGCCGAGTTCTTTTTTTTTTTGCATTTTTATGAACCGAGGCGAAGTCGGAGTCCTTAAAAATGCGAAAAAAGAACGAGGCTAATGTCAAGCCATCATAACCGAACAAGCTTGGTTAATAAAGGATTTATGATATCGCACAAAGATTTTGCTTTAATAAGAATTAGGAATGACTTGTTTGCTTCGAGAGACTGGAAAGAAAGCCAACTGTGTTTGTAGCACAACAAACTCACGAGAGTCCTTTCTGTTTTCTTTGTTTTGAGTACCTTCTGCCACCTTTTGCGTTTCGATCGCCTAAATTGACCATGAATTACGAACATAGTTCTAATTCAATTTTTTTCATGCGTGGGATCAATGCGGGCAATCTCGAGGGGGGCGAGATGAGCCCATCTTGCCCGCTCGAGTAGCCAATCAGAATAAAGGGGGTAGATTTCTAAAGAAACTGTGGTGCTGCGTCGGTGGGGGTAACAAGGTAATTTGGTAATATCAACTAAGTTGAAATTGTAAATTGGCCACCGTAAAGAGTTAAAAAGCCGACATTTCGAGTGTTAGCCCTTCGTCAGAGCGAATATATCTCCGAGAGAAATGAACATATCATGTCAAACCTTCGCTCTGACGAGGGGCTAACGCTCGAAAAGTCAGTTTTTTAACTCGTAACGGTGGCCAATTTACAATTTCAACTTAGTTGATATTACCAAATAGCCAAACAGAACACAAGATTCGCTTTATCTTGCCCACGGGCGCTGCGAGCGATATAATAAATAGGAGATATTAAATGACAAGTTGGTTATGGTTTAAGGGTTGACATGATATGTTCATTTCTCTCGGAGATATATTTGTAGTGAATTTGGTGAAAATCAGCTGATAGCCTATCAGGAGATATTGAATGATAAGTTGGTTGTGGTTTAAGGTTTGACATGATATGATATGTAAAGGTAATAACATGATTTCGAGTGCAATTTGGTGTTGATGAGCACGAGTATATTTTTCAAAGAAAACAAAATAGGGAATATTAAGAACTAACTATCGCGAGGGTGTGAGGTTGGAAAGCAACCGTACTTTTGGTAAACGACTCTCCACAATACTGATTACCCTGCAGGCTTTGAGTTTTTGTATGACACCACTTTGTCTGTTTGTTAGTCTGTTCATTGACAATACTCTAATAACACTGAAGAGTGTCTTTCATACAGCAGTTCAAGATGTCATTGCAAGAAGCCAGAGACATGCCCACGTCATTGACGGAGCTATCTTAGAAGTGACGCCCTACTACCCTTTCCTCTAAAACATAACATCCACGAAAACGGAGATGACTTTTAGCCTAGAATTCGATACCATGACTACATTAATCCTGGCTTATCACAAAGTAAACTGCTACTATAGGCTTATAGAGTGGCTGAATTCCTACATGGCTCGATAGTCACTTTTTCGTCCTCGGAAAGGGACCCTTCATCAGAAGAAAGAACTGAGAAGTTTAAGAGTTTCCTGCCTAACCCCAAGAAGTGTGATGTTTCCGTTCCTCCCGAAATATTTGTTGAGATTTCAAAGCCGTGGCAAGAGCTAACTTCCGATCAAGGTAAAGCAAATGGTCCGGTATCGTATGACCAAAGAAGATTAGGCTTCAAAACATTTTAGAACACTTACTCAGAACACAAAGAACAAAAGTTGCAATAGTTGAATCTTAAAGTTGAGGACAACTCAGAACTGGTAAGGTCTGCAGCTTAAGTGGTCAGAACAAGCTAGTCGAATGCCAAACTTATTTTGTTGAAGATTTCTGGAAGAAAAGAATATTCCCCGGAAAGCACGATTTGTCCTCAAGAGCTCGGAGGTTCAACACCTTGTATGGCTCTGTATGCATTCCGCCAGTTGTTTTTATACTTCCTTTACACGAGAACCGTTTATGGCGGGCGAAGTCGTGAAGCTATTTTGATAAAATTGAAGCACGAGTCGAGACTGTGACGACCCAAAAATGTCACAATTTGAGGATATTTTACGTCGATCAATTTGAAGCTTCAACGATCTTCTCCCCCCCCTCCTCTTCCTCGGACAACCGCCTGGTAACCCTCGGGCAACCTTTCGCACATTTGAACTTTTAAGATTGACTCTTTAGAATTCCCCTTTCCCCTTCTGGGCCAAAATTCCGTTCAATGCCCCACCCGATATTGGACTATTCTTTAGCTTCAGTTGGGTTTTTTTTCTCGTAAGTCTACGGAGTGAAAGTAGTATTTAAAGCCATTTGCTTAAGAATGCATACTCCTTAAATTTCAAACACCTCCATATAACACGTGTATTATCCTGGAAAAATTTGACTCTTCAGGTTCAGATGCCCCCCTCCACTCAAGAAAGGTTGAAATTCCCTCCCCCGATCAAATGCCCGTGGGTTGCCCAGGAGGGATGAAGAAACTTGGAGTTGCTTAGTGCATTAATTTGTTTCCTTTATTCTGAAGATCGGCTGTCGAAAAAACCCTACGAAAGATGATCGGACCAAGCGCAATTCAATGTTGTGACGAGACAGTTTGAACTTACGTGGAAAAGAACGAATTAGCTAGAGCGCTTCCGCCGAATGGACACTACTTTCCTAAGATTACTCATGAAATTTTTTTAACCGGTTCAAGCAACTGCTCTAAGTGTGAATCCTGGGAGTCAAAAGCCATCACTCATTCTTTAGTGAGTTAAGTTAGAAATTACACGCTATTATCATTTTCTCAAACAAAATGAAAATCACGGTAGGCACTTTGGCACCTTGTTTTAAGATTCATTAGTTTTTGTTATTTTGCACTCTCGCCACATTTTCCTTGGCCACCTAGCCTGCTCCGTAATTTTCTGAAATTAGAGAAGGAAAAAACAATCATGATGAACAGGGCAGACATGCGTATGGTCTGGTTCTAGTCAAATGATAGAAAGAGCAAGCAACCGTGCTCTAAATAGAATCAGGTAGATAAGAGAATCGCTTCCAAGGAGGCTAAATTCAAACTATATGACGGCTGAATTTCTTCTACAAGCGTTCATCTTTCCTCAAACCAAAACGCTCGGCGATATCTTGGTAAAGAAAAACCTCAGCCTCGCATAATTGCAAGGATTATCTCCAAATTTATGGAATAGCTATTAATTAGAGCAAAACTGGCTTTGATTTTCGTCATGGTTAAAAAATTTCTATACTTCTGCATAGTAAAGAAATTGCAGTTTCGTACATTGGTGAAGTCAACATTTGAGTTTGCTCTGAGTTGCAGCGAGAGCTAGCTTAATAACAAAGTCTCGGAAGGAATGAATCTCTTTAATATCCATTTTCCCATTTTAATTTAACAAGGTAGATTTTGTGAGGATTAACTATTTGAGATATTCAGAGAGTCGCGGGAAAGAACGGATACGATTGACAAGGAACAGCAACTGAACAACAGAATGAGAAAACCATGAAAACAAGAGTGAAATCATGGAAATTCGAATGGAAGATAAAAGGGATCGCAGCGGTTAAGTTCCCAGCTCAGTTTATATCAACATTTATCTCCTCAGTTTTAAAGAATAAAAATGAGTAAAGTCAATAAAGAATAAAATTGAGTAAAGTCAATAAAGAATAAAAATGAGTAAAGTCAATAAAGAATAAAAATGAGTAAAGTCAATAAAGAATAAAAATGCGTAAAGTCAGTAAAGAATGAAAATGAGTGAAGTCAGTAAAGAATAAAAATGAGTAAAGGATATGCCACTGCATACCATATGTTAACCTCTCAACATTTATTTATTATTCACACTACGTAGCATGAGTGAGGTACATGATTGAATCAAAGCACGCTGATCAGTGTAAAATTAATGTAAGATTGTTTGAGTTCAAAACTGTATAAAACTACTTAAATCTAATCATAGTTAATCGAGGGGTTTAACTATGATCTAATCGAGTCACTAAACTTTTACAAATGCTTTATTCACTCTAATCACTAGAATATTAAGAAAAATTATGATAAATGCTTGGAAATCGAAAAATGCATCAAAATGTCAAATAAAAATTTAGGAAAAACTTGCAGATACACGTCTCGTTTACGTTTAGGCGGCAGTCGTCGATAAAGTCCCCGGTCTCGTAAAAAGGTGTCTTTGAATCTATTACACTTGGATGTACCGATCTTAACATCTCAAATCGTAGTGGAATAAGGCTCCTCATCCTACTTCTCAGCTAGCTGCTTGAGGAAGCGGTGGTACTAGGCTCCTATCCCACCGATGGTTCCAAAAACTAGAGGTGTAAATAACCCTATTTCGATGTCCAACACTCGCTGCTGATACTTCCGCTTTTTCTCATCCTCTTGCTCTTAGAAGGTTGTGGACGCTGGCTTGCTCCGGTTTTACCTGGAATTAACATGCATTATTCTAACATCGAAAAACGCTGTAACTCCCCTTCACCGAAAGCCCCTTGCCTTTATGTCTAGGTCCTCATCAATTATGCTAGCATAAGTTTTGGCATAATTTGGAAAAATGAGCATAATTTTGGCACTTTTTCCAAAAGTAGCACTACCAGCATAATCGGCATATTTTTGGTTTTTTGAAGGGAACATTACCAGAGTCAGGACTTGCTTGGTCTCTTAGACTGATTCTTTTCAAGTTCTGTCCATAGTTCAGTGTATTTTCATTCGTCTAGGTGAGGGGAAGAAGGTTACCGCAATACTGCGTCGTTGGTCTTTTAAACGACTGGGCACACCGGAAGTAAAGATTGCGTCGGTCCCAGTTCCCGCTTTCACAGAGGGTGCCCCTGGTTCATCCATCTTCAGCGGCTTTAGAGAGAGATTTTAGCATGCTCTCAGCCTCGTTCAATGAACAGCAAGAGAGTGTACTTCCAGATTACTTACAAGCAAGTGTGAGGCTGCCATATAACAAGCGCTAAGCTATATCAGAACACATTAAATGTGATACTAACATAGTACACTTTGATACATTAAGTCACCACTTCTAGTCTGGAATGAAGTGCAGAAGTTGGTTGTGCTTTATCAGAGCAAGTGTGTAGTTCAAGATAAAGAAAATATGATGCTTTATTAACAATAAGTATATAATTTGGGTTTTTGGATTAAGCATGAAAAAAAATTAGCATAATTTTCAAAAATGAACATTATTTTGAGCATAATTTGGAAAAAAAGGGAAAAAATCGGGTACTGCTCGTAGCATAATATGCTACTTTTACTGAGCACAATCAATAAGGGCTTACGCCAAGAAAGGTTTGATCATTTGCCGTAGAATCTCAAGGTATTACAGATTTCTTTAAGGGGCGGTTACGCTGAAAGAGTGAAGAAAGAGCGACTCATTTTTCAGTCGAAAGGATCGCCACAAGAAATAACTAGCTCATCATATAGTGAATGGTTTCTTCCAGAGAAGAGAGGGTCAATGCAAGAGACGCGATCGAACACCGGCGCGGCTAGATAAATTAAAGATTTTCCGTAGCCAATTGGTAACGAAACGGAGACGTAGTTATCTACGAAAAATGTATCTATGTCTTTTTGCTGTTCTTCTTGAAATCTCTCTATTCCGAACTTTCCTTAAAAGCTCGTCGTAGATCACTGTTGTCCGTAAAGTTGACAATGAAGGCACTCTGTTCACTATATTGTTCGTTAATATAAAAGAAAACCACCAGTCAGAATTCACGAAAGAATGGACGAAACTGTTATCCAATAAAAATTCATAATATATTTTCATGCAAAAGAGTGACTTCGTATAACTTACGATTCGTGTCAGGTTTTCGTAGAATTCCCTCTTTTATGTTTATCCATGAGGGGACGGCTACACGTAAGCTAGAGCTAAATGTCTTGAGGCAACTTGATGCCACTCACTACTAAAATTCTGAGATTCACTATAAACTAGTTTCAAAACAAGACTCACGATAGACTTGCCCTCGGATTTTTCCAACTTTTGGCATGAACCATTTTACGAAATTCCATAGAGTGACACAACAGACCTAGGGAAGAGAAACATAAAGTCATTACATTTGCCAAGTTTAGACGGATATGTTTAAAAGCAACGGACACTCTTTAAATTCGAAAAATGTTACAAGCGTTTCCTCGTGGGGGGCACAACTTCAAGATCACACTTTGCCAACCGGATCTCGACGAAAGTTACATGCAATGATGACAATTAGGTCTAGCTCTTAGAGTGCCATATGAGCAGACAACGTTTAAGAATTTGATGATCTCAGATAAATCAATTCATTGGGAGATCAAAGCTGATTCAAACAAACAAGGACTCTGAGTCGGGAGGTCCTCGGTACTAGAGTAGAGGAGGTGATGACGAGCTTACGTTTTTCCGAGAATTTGAGAATACTTGTTTTGCTGTGTTTCCTATAGCTGTATTTCAACTCCTGTTTTACGTGATGGCTCAAAATGAAAGCTATTTTGACGAAGTTAAGAAGGAAATAACTTGTACCATATGCGATTATCAATTTAATGAAGTCAAAGATCCAAGAATACTCAGCTGCTTTCATACATTTTGTAAAGACTGTCTGGAAGATTGGCTTCGAGAACAACAAAATGGTAGAGTGAGCTGTCCGCTATGCCGCAAGATCACTGAATGTCCTGACGGCATTGATAGTGTTCAACCCAACTTATTCTGCCGAAAAATGGTGGAACTTGTAGAATTTTACAGCGGAAATGGACGAGAAGAGTTTCCCCATTGTAGCAACTGCGACGAGAGTAAGCCATTAAAATTTTACTGTTCTGACTGCAACTGTTTCTTATGTGACACGTGTGCTATGCTTCACAAGAACTGGAAAAGTTTCAGCGATCATCGCATTAAAGAAGTGGGTAAGTTCGAGTGTAGCGACGCGCAAGATTTCGCTCGAAGGGCCAACTATTGCCTTGGTGAACAACACAATGAAGACGAGAAGAAAATAAAGATCAAGTATTTCTGTGAAGAATGCTCCGTATGTGTTTGTCGTGACTGCGTCCTATTAGAGCATCGAGATCACGACTACATCTCAATTGAGAAAGGAATTGAAAAAAAGAAGGGTGAATTAGATGCTAAACTTCAAGAAGTTAAAAGAAACCGCTTATGTTTAAACACCCACAAGACCTCGGTGGAAACACGAAGAGTGAAAGTAAACAACAGCATCGATCAGGCGACAAATGAAGTGCATAGGCTTGCCGAGCATTGCATAATGTTAATTCGCCAGCACGAATCAAGCGTGACGGAAAGGCTAGCGAGGGAGAGAGCAGATGTTCAAGGTGCATTCACCAAGAAACTGACCAGTTTAAATGAAAAGCTGGCGGAAATAGACCGTGGCTTGGCATTCAGTGAAGACGTCCTCGTCCGAAGAAATCTTCCAGAAATTTTGAATGTAAAAACAATTGTTGAGCGGAGGCTCCAAGAACTTTCAAATCCTTTCGACTTTATGCCAGTGCTGGAATATACTGATGTTAGGTATATCCCAAAAGACGTATCGCACTTGAAGGATGCACCCGGAAGGTTAGTGTCTAGCACAACCGCGCCTTTTTTGTCCGAAGCCCATGGCAGGGGTCTCACAGAGGGTGTCAAAGGCGAGGATTGCAATTTCACAGTCACCACAAAGGACTCGCGAGGAACGACCACTTACAGCGAAATTGACAAAATAGAAGTTGAAATAAACTCAGTGTTGCCATCAAACATCGTCATCAAAACCACCGTAAGAGACGAGTTGGATGGCCATTACTCTGTCCACTACAGACCAACTAGCCCCGGTGAATTTACCGTTTCTGTCAAAGTTTCAGAGATCTCAGTCAAAGGCAGTCCTTTCATGCTGACAGTGAGGAGCGAAAATAGGTCTAGAAGTAAGTAATGAGTAGTTATTGTGTACGGTTATACGGTTATACTTATCGGGATCTTTTTTCGCTAATTAATTAATTAATTAATTAATTAAGTAAGGGTAACAAACTTCAGCCTAGTTATAGCATCGAGGCTATCATATTTTTTTAAGCTGTTTTCATTTTGCTCTACTTTGTCACGCATTCTTGTTTTTTAAGAAAACCATCAACAACCTATTTGACTTCATCGGTCCCATCTAGTTATTTGAAGTTTGAAATCAATTCAGAAATTGAATACTCAATGATAAAACGGTCGCCAGCTACAGCTGTAGGAATGGTGAAGGTAAATAAAATATTTTTAAAATCGCAGTTAGCAAGTGCATTGAGTCAGCATCGGTATAAAAATAGAAAGAAGTGTTTACATATTTTTTACAATTCTCGCTCTATTTTGAAGGACATTTTTTACTTGTTTAAGTCACCTTTTTCGGTTTTAGAAGTGAGTGAAGCTCTAGGTGGTTTCCGATGGAATTCAGGATCATTCCCACAAGGGAAGTTAAGGCGACTTAACGCTTATTTTTTCGAAATTTAATTTAAAGGACAGTGAAGTCCATCACGAATTTTAAAATCAATGTATTCCTTAAACCGTTCTACATCAATGGTCAGGTTAGGGTTGGTTCATTTATTAAGCTAATAACTCTTACGAATTTCAATGTATTAATTTTTTGTTTTTAGAGAAAACGAGGCCGAAACCTAACTATTTGGGGAAATTGCCCATTGTTGGCTCCTTTAGCTATACTAGAATGTCCTCGGGTGCATCGGAATCTTTGGTGGATGAAACGAGTTCTTCAAGCTTAGCAAACAATTTGAGAGCTGTTAAATTGGACAAGGAAAAAGGTAGGAGAGCTAATAGGGAGTTGAGCCACTAAGATTTCGCAAAAACAAAAAGGCCTAAAGAGCAGCAGCTTTGTATGAAGGGAAAATAACAATAGTGGTTTTTGGTAACATTTTTCAATTTGGTAACATTTTTTGAGCCAGCCGGCGTAATGAATGGGTCATAACTTACTTCTTCAAGTGGCCTATGTACAACTGTTAATCCTTTCCCTACTTCTCAGTTGTTCGTTCCCTGTTTTTCATCTTGCGAAGGTTCTTGTCCTATTTGTCTTGACTCACTGACAAATCCACGAACGTTGCTTTGTAACCATTCTTTCTGTGGACCATGCATCGCGGAGGCCCGGGATAAACATAAGTACAACAAGTGCCCGGTGTGTTTTGAATTTCAAGGTGTCGTGAAAGGAAACCAGCCACCTGGAGAGATGACGCATCACCTTGAATCCCAAAGTGTTTCTGGCTATGAAGGTACACTTTGCTGAGTTTCACAACATAACTGGCTGATATTCTCAGTAATGTTTTATAATTAGCGCTAAAGCTCAAAGGTAAATCTCACGGCTACCCTTTAAATGTATTTGGGGCTGTGACTTAGAAATGCAGTTGCCGACTGATTAACCCTCTAGACTCTGAGTCTCTGAGTCTAAGAGCGATCCCAACCCGGAACTGTCTTCTGATTTAAGCATTTGGGTGGTAGTTTTATTCGGAAAATAACTTTTTTTGTCTGAGAGAATGAATAGATACCAGTGAATTATCAAGAAGAACAAAGAAACGCTGAAGTGAGGCCTGCAACAGACGTAAATGCTTTTTATATCATGTGTGCAGAAACCTGTCTGGAGCGTGAAAACTTGAATTGTATCTTTTACTTCTGTGAGAAATTATGAAAACTTGTCTCATAGAGACAAGTTTTCATAATTTCTCATTGATTATTCTGATTGATTATTCTTGCTTCCTAAAATACACTTGAGAAGTTTTCCACTGGCGTGTCGCTCGATCAGCAACGACGAAATAACAAACAAACAAACAAAAAGCACACAAAAAACTGCTACAACAAAGAACAGCAACAGCAAACAAAAGACTCTCAGTTGCAACTAATACCTCGATCGTCGACTTGGGCCTCCATCTAAGAATTGAATAGCTGGGTACTTTCCCATGCAATCCTTTCAGATTCAGATGGTTTAATTCGATCCGTGTTCACTGTGTGGCATTTGCGTTACTGCGCCTTTTTTTCAGGTTATGGCACAATTGTCATTGAGTATAACTTTCAATCCGGAATTCAAGGCTCGGAACATCGTAATCCAGGAGTTCGTTATCAAGGTACAAAACGCCAAGCATATCTCCCCAATACGGACGTAGGTAAAGAGGTGTTACAGCTTCTGAAGAGAGCCTTTGATGCACGTTTGGTTTTTACTATTGGAACTTCTGGTACTACAGGTCTTCCGAACCAGATAGTATGGAATGGAATTCGTCACAAAACCAGTAGACGAGGGGGGTACGGAGGGTAAGGGAACAGACGTGTTTTTTGTTGTTGTTGTTTGTTTGTTTGTTTTTATTCAAGCAGTGAAACCAGGAACGTCTTAATTTGTATTGCATTTATGTAACAGCTCATCAAAAGTAGGATATGGATCGTGCAACTCATTATCTAATATCACAGCGGTTAATTAACTATCGGAATCTGCGCCTATATTGTTGTTAAAGCAATTTTTTCAACCAATTTTTTCGGTAAATTTGTATCGTATGTGTACATGTTATCGGGGGCACATGATTTAACCACTCAAAGTATAGTATCATGCAGTATCATGCACATGTTTCAAATCTCGTAATATGTTGTATGGCATCTTGCTACTTGTGGGATGATGAAGAAGCTTTTCTTTTCAATTATATGATAGACAAGAGGTGGAGATGTCTGGACGGCTGTCGAAATCCACCGTCTGAACCAATTTGCCTTTGGTTCCTCATCGTCACGATGGAAAAAATTAAAAAAAAAAACAACTGCATTTCTTTTTTTACGTTCAAGGTTTGGGTATCCAGACCCAGATTATCTTCGGCAAGTCAAGGAAGATCTGGCTGCTAAAGGAATCCGCTAAGAAAAGAGTAGGAAATCTCCACTTTTACCATAGTAACATTCAAATAAACCAATTATTTCACGGTACCATTAGATGGACTGATAATTTTTGTACCCTTGTAAAAACGATTTTAAGAATTACGGTAAATCATCTATTAAGCCCCCCCCCCTCTGAAAAGCCACCCCCCTCTAATGAGTCCCCCCTATCAAGCCCCCTACCCCTCCGCCCTCAAAAAACAAAAATTCAAAATAACACTCCATGTCAATAAGTACGATAAATTTATTCGATTACTTTAATTTTAGTTCGTCATTTATGATTGATTATGGTGATTGATTTATTGATGTTATCATGTTGGCATCAGTAGAGTACGGTATATGGAGTTACAATTTAATAATATGATATAAAAAATGTAGAAAGAGAACAATATTTGAACAAATATGGTACATCATTTCCTATTGTATCCTGGTAGAGAACATCGGGCTAAATTAATAACCCCCCCTCTATTAAGTACCCCCCTCTATTAAGCCCCCACCTCCAATAAGCCACCCCCCTCTATTATTAAGTATTGTAA